GGTACTGTATATGCAAGTTTTCGGATTTACTTATGCTTCATAAGTTAAGAAAATCGCCAACGTCCAAGCAATGCTAATTTTTCATTTTATTGTCAACCTTCGACATTTTTATGATGCGCCTCACATTCCGCACCACGTAATCTCTGCAAAGTGTGACGAGGTCTGATTAGACCATATGTATTCATTATTGCTTTTCCTAATATTTCAACAAGAAAGTAGTCAGTTCGTTGCGGTTCAGATTTTATGAGATGCTCTATTATCTTTTTTCATATTTTTGTTTTTCAGGTTGTGTGTGACGAATTGGGCGATACGATACAACGCGAGTGCAATAGCTAGCGTTTGCGTGCATCTCGTGTGCGTGTACGCCGGATACGAGGTGCTGGTCAACCCTTGTTCCCATTCTGCCTAGAGCGCGCTTTGTAATGCGAGCTGAGAGTGATTTCGGTGGAAGCGATCGTGTGCGGGAGGGTTCTAGTGTCATCACGTGTTCAAAACTTTCACGTTGATTCGACACGGCCCGCACGCGGTCCCGCCAATTCCCTTAGCCGCTGGCAAGTTTCTCGGGGCATTTGGGCAAACATTCATGACACGAAGCAGAGGTATGTCATTTGTCAGCCTCTGGAAGTTTTTGTTTGAATTCATATTCGAGAACTTGACACTTCGCCGCCCCGAGTTCAAGAAGTCGAAAAACATGCTCGGAACTCAATCGCCGACAAATTTATGACTTCGGAGCGGGAATTGTAAAAGTTATGAGTATGTTCGGAGTATGCACCGAACAGGCGATCAAGAGAATCAGGGAATCCGAAAGAACTGAAAAAGTTTTGGATGGCTGAGTTCCAAGGTCACGGGAAACTATCGTATTCATAAGTATGATCAAACGCAATCTGAAAGTAACTAACAATGCTTTTTTATCTTTGTCTCCCTTGCTTCATAAATGTTCCAAACTGGAACAAGGATTTCTTTTTGCTCTTGCGCAGACTCCTTTTTCTCGGTTCGTCAGTTCGGCGTAAACTTTGAACCAGTTGAAGTCGTTTAATTCGAATGACTGTTTATGTAAGGAATAACCATTTTGCTGGATGAAGGATAAACAAAAGGCTAATGCCTATTCAAAGACATCTACAGTAGCAAAACGAAGCCGGATTATATACGTAGAGAAAGTATTGAACAACTTATAGGGGCGAGGAATTCAAGCGAATTCGTTATCTCCAATGGTAGGAGATTGATGTTGCAGATGTCAAAAACCAGTTTTGCAATATGTAATAT